CTTCACGAATACAGGTACTTTAAATTATATGCGATTCTCTATAGAAAACCAAGTACCAGCACGTCAACGGCCTCACCAACGCGCCAACGGCCTTGCCAGCGCGTCGACGGCCTTATTCCTAGCCAAACACCACGCGGATAGACCTCCGAATAGCTTCACGAATACAGGTACTTCAAATTGTATGCGATTCTCTATGAAAAACCAAGTACCAGCACGTCAACGGCCTCACCAACGCGCTGACGGCCTTGCCAACGCGTCGACGGCCTTATTCCTAGCCAAACACCACGCGGATAGACCTCTGAATAGCTTCACTAATACAGGTACTTTGATTTGTATGCAATTCTCTATAGGAAGCCAAGTACCAGCACGTCGACGGCCTCACCAACGCGCTGACGGCCTTATTCCTAGCCAAGCACCACGCGGATAGACCTCTGAATAGCTTCACGAATACAGGTACTTTGATTTGTATGCAATTCTCTATAGGAAGCCAAGTACCAGCGCGTCGACGGCCTTGCCAGCGCGTCAACGGCCTTGTTCCTAGCCAAACACCACGCGGATAGGCCTCCGAATAGCTTCATGAATACAGGTACTTCGATTTGTATGCCATTCTCCATAGAAAACCAGGTACCAGCGCGTTGGTGGCCTTCAACACCATTCTATAGTTGAAAACGCGTTTACTGCGCCTTAAAATAACTTTAAAAACGAGTTCTTAAAGGGTTTTATTATCGAGTTTGCCAATGTGTACTGGTACATTAATTTGTGTGGGAGATCTCATAGAAATCGACGTACCTGCACCTCAGCGCGGACTTAGCAATTTTCAAGCAAGTGCGCCCTGAAGGCCTCTGTTCGCGTTTGTATGTCATTTACCATACAAACTGGAACAGCTCGATTACACGGGCACGTGAGGCACTAAAACTCATTCCGACACTAAAGGTGTCGGCAGTATACGAATGTCGAATACCCAGCGAAGGCAACGGCAGCGCGGCCCCACCATCCGGACAGTGCGGACCCAGCACAGGACCCATTCTACAAGTACGAGACTCTTCGAGACTTCACCTCTTGAAGAGTCGAGACAGTATGGCCATGCACGGCCCTTGCAGGCATGTGTCCACTGTCTAGACATCTCCTACCAGGTCCAGGCTTGGGACCGAAGGATCAACAGACATCTGCCAATTTAACCTCACCTCAACTTACAAGGGTGAGCATGTTCGGCGCCGCGGAGTAATCGTCTAGGCGCCGATTAGGCCATGCCAGGCCGTTGCTGGTTATCCCGCTGGCAGTGGTTAGTAATTCCCCGCGCACTGACGCTCACTAAGGCGGGTGATTATCGGCATCATCAAGAGTGGAGCTTAAAGGATGCGTGATGGCAAGTGTTTCTGTCTTCGTGCCACTTGACGGAGCACGTCCGACGGTCCGAGGGCCTAGGTCCTTCGTCAGTCACTCATGGTGGTGCTCGCCATTTCGATATGGGATCTAAGGCAACTGAGTTGTAAGGCAAGTGCGACCTTTTGATAAGTACCGTAGGTCCACTGATACGGTAATGTTTCTCCGTGCCTGACTTTGAGACAGAAACGATGCAGGAGAGAGTTTCGCGCGGCAGGATTCTTCATTCTTCAGCCTACACGCCAACAAAAAGTTAATTATTCACCGACAATCGGCGAATGCTAACTGTGCCGGATCTTCGCGGCGACTTTTCTGCCTTGCCAGAAGCGCTGGTAGGCGCGTATCGAGAATCGGCAGAGAGCGCCGTCATACAAAGTAAGACCAAGCTCTCAGCGATTCAGGTATCGATCTTGGGTGCGAAGTAGGCTACCGAAACGCCAACCGAGAGACCAGTGAGCACTACTGAGTATTACACTTCTCAATAATCATGCTCATCGTTCAGTCAACAACGCACTATTATTATTGGGCCGTCACGACGATTCGTCAGCGAAGAACCCCCAAGGCACAGGTACGAAAGTATCTCAATTACCGAGGAGAGAGGGCGGCTGCCAATCGTTGTCTCGACCTCGGCCTCGGTCGCTATAGTAGCGAGCAGCTATACGTCGCCAATAAGCAGGATGAAATAGAATCGCTTTGTTCGTGGTCGCCTTAACCCATTCATCAAAACCCCGCATGTGAAATGCACCCTTCTAAATCCCATTTCCACCCTTCTTCATTTCCACCGTCGAGTCCCGCGGTGACAGGTGGCCGGAAAAGAAAGCATAGAAAAAGGAAACATGCCGTTGAGACTGACTGTCACTGACAACTGCCGCTGAGCGAACGGAGCGGAGTACACTACATACAAGCGTAGGTATCTGAGAGGTTCTACGCCGGCGATTCTGCAGTCCCAACTCTGCACAGGGGCTCGGCGCTTACCTGGGTCTTGATGGATCAGAACCAAGGGATCCTTGCCCATGTCATGCACGTCTTTCCACCGATTCCCTGCTCTTTCAATCTTAGTTATTGACGAGTTATAGTTGGGTTAAACTGAGGCGAGGCGCGTGCTAGTGGCCTACCTACCTATGCATGGGAACCGAAACAGAGAATCCACCCGTCCCCCAACACTATGTTGTTCAATCTTTTATAGTTCTCGATGAGCAGTTGATGGCTTTTCTGTTGGTGGATGAGGCGCCGATGAGGGATTTCCTGACCGGAGGTAGACTAGACTACGAGAACTCATTTGGGCTCGAGGTTGCAGTCGTATCTCACCAGAGCGGCACGCAAAACAGCCGCCCCCTCCCCTTCCCTGACTCTTCGAAAACAATGACAACAATAACAACAGCGTGTCGCGGCACTATCCTCGCACCCATGCACGCAACAGAGCCTCGCAGGTCGGAACAAATCGACAGCCTCCGGCATTCATCCGTCCAGTCACCATCGGACCCCTCCCTCCTTCCCATACCCCTTTCCTTCCTCCATGGTATCGTCGGAATGTCATGACTGCATTCTTCCTAGAACCGGAAGAGAACGAGGGCGCCTCCCCCCAAAAGAAAACAGCAAGCAAAAATCTCTCCTAGCCTGAAGAAACTATACTCCATTACTGCCAATACGCGCTCATCACGCGCGCCATCGCGCTCACCCTCTCTCAGCGCCTACTCCATACAATCTGGGTGTATGTACATACGGAGTACGGAGTATGTAGGGAGTATGCACGCCTATACCTCACCTCATTCCGCGGTTGTAGTATCCACCGCATGACCCAATGGCGATCCGTCTACCTCACCTCCCACGCAGAAAAGGGGCCCCCAACCTCCAAGCCCTTTTTTTTTGAGTCCGGTTCGTGATTTGGCTGCAGAGCGCAGGCCAGGTAAGCGCGTGGTCTACATATCTTGACAGTTGTCTGGCGATGGGTGGCTAGTTGGATTTGAGGCTTGCAAAGTGCAGTGCAGTGCAGTGCAGAGCAAGGCCACGACTTCAGCCACGGCCATAATCAGCAGGCGTCGCGTCCTATGTACAGTGCCTATAGTGTAGGTAGGTGACCTGGCTGAGCGTTTGAATGAGCCCCTGGTCCCCTATTGAGTGTGACTATAGAGTCTGCAGCGTACTTAGTAGATCCTACATCTCCATCCCGTAGATCAGTTGATGCGCAATGATGCAGACTACAGCAGTTCAGTAGGAGATGGCTGACCCAGGGAATAGTGCAGAAGGGAGGTTATACGCCGTCTAACCAACTACCTGCAGCGCACATGCACCCCTAGAGTATCTAACGTCTTCCCTCCTTTACAGCTCGCCCCCAAGGCTACCGAATGCGGATACCACCTACCTATCTAGAGACATGCGCGACGACGAGCGGAACGAGAGCGCTAGGGGCGCCGCGTGAGGTATGGCTACCTAACCTGGTACAACATCCAACGTTTTGGCGAAGGTCATGGGGACTCGGTCGGAGGGCACGGCGCGCGCTGCGTGTGTTGTACCGTGTAACCCAGCGCTGCTGCAGTGCGGATATTCTACGGAGTAAGACGGCGGTGGGTGTGTAGTGTACCTGGTCATCACGAGGCGGGTTGGGTATCATCAGCTAGTCTAACCACCGGACGTATTCCAGAATGGCTGAGTTGTCTGTTAACTGTTTTGGTCGGAGATCTACTGCGTATGCAGACTCAATGTTTTGGACTGGACGGGCTTGAGTGCCGTCTGGATGGTTGGTGTGTGGTAAATGTTGATTGCTGTAATGTAAGCACGCTAAAGATGACCCCCGCTAGCAAACACAAACATGCTGATCATTGATGCCCCTATATCGCCCATACTCCATACGTTCATGTTCATGTTCATGCTTGATTGTCAAGCTACAGCCTGCTGCACTCAATGGCCACGCTGGTCTGCAGGATCGGCTTTCGTGCCTGAACTCTTCTGCGAAGACCTTGGCTCGCCCGGCCCCTCGATCGCAAGGGGCGGGTTGTCGCTTTCGTCCTCGTCATCGCTCGAGAAATCGTCTACAGGACGACCACGCCGACGGTCCTCCTCACGTTGCTTGCGGCGGGCTCGAATATACTCTCGATACCTCTCATCTGATGTTATTAATACCTACAAAATAAAAAGCGGGAAAGCTGGGATGGTAAGCATTGAAATTGGCATACCTCGAATTTCCTGCGTCTTGACAGCGTAGGTCTGGATTTCCTCCTTGGTCAACACCCGCAAGACGATGACATGGTCCGGTCGCTCTTCGAATCGTTCTTGGCCCGCTTCAAGTGCGGCCGGGTTTACAAGACGGCGGTCAATCTTGGTCCAACGGGCTCCAGGAGGGATTCCTTTCTTGTGGGCATCTTTCAAGGGTGCAACGCCTTCTCGTACCGGGTTCGGCTCCTCTGGGAACTTGTCGCGTGGTGGCTTCAGGATCCCCTTAGGTGGCGCGTCGGGGTCTTTTGAATCACCCTTCTTCTGATCCGATCTCTTTTCCGACACCCGATCGTGGTGACGAGAGCGCGAACGGTGGCGATGTGGCTCGTTTTCCTTCGAACTATCAGAGCCGTTGACCCTTGGACGCACAGATGGCTCGCGTCGATACTTCTTCAGGTCGTCATCCGATGAACACTCATCAGACTCACTTCCCCCGCGCCGCCTGGAGCGTCTCCTTGAGCGGCTACGTTCCCGAGGCGCTCTGTCTCGGTGGTGATAGCGATCAGGTCGAGAGTTGAGGTCGTAGTCAACCTCATCCGTGTATCCACTAGCTAAAACGGCTGTTCCCAGACCATTGCTAGACACAGATGGTGCGGAGAGCTTGTGCGATGACTTTCTTGGTCCATGGCTGTCGTGCGTATCTCGGTTCCGCGAGTCGCCATCGGGACGTTTATGTTCACGGCGGATGTGACGGCGGTCGTCATGATCATCTCTGTACGAAGAATAACCCTCGTCGTGGTCATGATGGAGGGCAATAGTACGTGGCGAGCGCTGTCGCACACCCGCAAGATCCAGTTCGCTATTACCAGGACCGTATGTCGATCGACGCAGGTCACTCCGATTCATTCTGTCGAAGACGCGATGTGACGGAGGCGGCCCATGTTCTCGAGGATCCTTTCGTGCCATCAAACGGGGGTCCTCGATACCTGTCAGACTCAACGGCCTCTCTTTCCTCGCGCTACGGTGGTATTGTAACTTGGCTGCAGCTTCTTTCTCGAATTGTTCGCGGGGATTTGTGTATGAGTAGGCATCGTACTCGTCAATATCCTCGCCCTTCCGGAGGCCTCCATTCTGGGGGTATCGCCGTCGACTTCCATTAGCGGGGTACGCTGCATAATGTCTTCGTGAAGTCGAATGTCCCCCTGTATCGCTCGCATAATCGAAAGAAGATGTGTGGCGATGATGTCTATGGTGCTTGGAAGACGCAGGAATAAGATAGCCATCTTTGTCCATAAGAGGGCTCGGGGATCGACCATGGCCCGACAAAATCACAGGTGACGTCCTGGAAACTGGGGGGATTGAAGGCACCTCGAGTCGGCCATGGGAGTCAGCAGCAGATGCGGTGCTGCTCCTTTGCCTAGGCCGAATCGCATACTCTGTTCTCAACCTTGTGGGCTGTCCATGATCGTGGTATGTTTGCTTCGAGATTGGGTGGGCCTCTAAGCGCGGGGAGACTGGAAATCGAGGGTCGTACGTGGGCGAAAAAGGGGCTTCGGCGCGATAGCTTGTGTATATCGGGCGGCCGGCAGGATCGTAGGGATCGTAGGAGGAGGCGAGCTGGACTGTGCCCGTCGAGGCTCGTAGGGGATCAATCATGTTTGCGCTGCCTGGCGAGATGGGCGGATAACGTGCTGCGGAACCCATCTCAATCTGCAAGCAAGGAACCGCAGCACAAAACTATATCGTAGTGTATATAGATCGGAAGCGAGAAATAGAGGACGAGTTTGCGAGATCTAAAGGATTGTGTTTCGGAGAATTCTGATAACGAACGAGGCAAAAGAAGCTCCGACACTGCAGGGACTATCGGAGAGTTGAAAAAGCAAAGGGCGTAGGGCTTGTCGAAAAAGCACACGAGATGTGGAGATCGCTGAGACTGGTGGATATCACCACCTGAGACAACGGCAAGTCGCGGATTATTCGAGAAAAGCCGTGGAAACCGGGTAGCAGCTTTGATGGGTCCAATGAGAAGTTGAATGTTTCGACTCTCTCGAGGTTGAGAGGAGCCCGAGGGTTGAAGATGATGACGCTGTGAGGGGCGAGTGTGGACTGGGCGGCGGTGACGAAAGCCCGACGACTCCAGCCTAACGGCTGGCCGTGGACGACTCTGAGTGGGCAACAAAGAGAAATCCGCGAATTAGATGGTACGATCCGTCCAGCAGTCTCCGGCCTGACGGTGAGGTTCAGATTGATTGATCGTTGATTCAACTTGATTGTGAGTGAGCCAGGGCATTGATGTAAACACAGGAACCATGGAAATGGAAAGGCCGGCAGGGACACGATCACGTTACCTCCCACAGCAATCAACACCAACTAATCGCTTCTCTTCATCTCTCCAGCTATGCATAATCCGACTCATCACGGCTACCCTCGCTGCTCGCCCGACCCAAACTAAATCCCAAGCTCCGTCCACTCGGGTCATCGTTCTTGCGAGATCATGGGGTTTTCTCAGCGTCTCGCCACCCGGTGTGCTGCCGATTTCCCCGCCCGCTGGGCCTTTCTTCGTGGACTTGACCTGAAGTCCTGAACATGAAGCCCAAAGTACCTACAGGGTCTGAGGGTATGCCTTCTACACACGTCACTCCTTCACATGCATTCCTGCAACGGCCGACCGCCAGTTTGGAAACAAGAGGCGGTGGACCTGCGTGAAAGGAATGAGGCTCAACTTGGTGGCCGCCTCCGCCGTTTTGACCTGCGGAGACTCGAGAGCATCATCGTCGGAGAACTCCGGTCCTGGGGCTTCTTTTTCAGTCGTTTGTGTCAACGCAGTTTTATTTCTTGGGCCAAGGCGCACCCAACTTTATTCACCCGGTCCTTTCAGCCTCGGCCCTCTATTTGGAGTTTGGATCCTGTCCAGATACTCGATGCTATCCACGACATTCATGACTCGGTTTTTGACGTCACGCCAAAAAGTGATCTGCGTTTTGAAGCTATCACGAGAAAATAATGAATCTGCAATGTTCATCAGCACGGATACGGTTCTCAGCGGGATGCCGGGCCCCTCCCGATGCCCCCTGCTCAACAGGGAGTAGCCCTGCTCAGGCTTCACGCCCCGCGAGACCGTTGACGACGGCGTCAAGCGCTCACAACATTCTGAGAGCACATGGGGTTATCGCCGATCAATTCGCCCAGGTTCAACGCTACATTTTGCCTGGTCGCATGAAGCGGATCTCGTCTCCGTCTCTCCACGTCATTATACCTAAGCGTGGGTGTGGCTCAGGGTTCATCCGCAGTTGCGGGTGAACGCAATCTAGATGACACTTGAGGCAGTTCCTGGGTTCTCGGAGCACTCGCGAAACAAGTCAGGCACAAACGCCTGGGACGACCGCACGGACTTTGCAAATGCCTGGCGTGATGCCCCTCGGTCATGTCCTCGACAGGTTCAGCTGCCTCGAGATGCCGTTCAAGAACTGTTTGGCTTTGTTCACCCTCAACGGGTCGAATGGGATCTCCGAGGGCTCCGGCACCCGTCTGGTGGCCATAAAACGAGCGCGCCTTTACAAAGTTTTCAAGCCACTGAGCGTATTCATCTCGGACGGCTCGAAATTTCGCGCTTGCCCTATACAAGGGCGTTTACATCCTGCCTGCTGCCTATTCGCCTCAGTCAGAGTCACCTGGGATGGATTGCCTTGCTACTTGTCGTCTACACGCCCTTTGCGCTTGGTTCCACTGGTGGGCTGTTCCTATGGACGCGCTCGCCTAATGCGGCCTTCCCAGTGTTGGGACTTTGCCCTCACTGCCTCCGGTAAAGTGCACAAGGCAAAAACGGGCAAATTGCTTCATCTCTATGTCTATTGCAGTTCTATGTTCGCCGTTTATAAATATACCAATTGCTGTCCCGTTCCTCTTTCGTTTATACCATCGCAGTCGAGTATCTAGTCTACCACCAGTCCATAGTCGTCGTCATCGTCGTCTTGCATTGAGCTCTTGTCATAAGTCCAGACGAGTGCCGTTTTCAATCCACTCTCCCATCATACAATTTCTGCCAATTACCCGGTTAAGCACCTGCATTTCATCGTCTGCGATCCTTTGTTCTCATTCAATCGTCCTCAATCGAGCATCTTCGACCCGAAAATCGATCTTCGTGAACGCGCTTCAGCCCAAACAATGTGCTTAAGCAAATCAAACAACATGTGCCTTACGGCATTGGAGTCCACCTGCGCTACCCCGACGACTACTTCGCTCGTCCAGTTCGTTCGACCAAGTATGGCAGGGTGGTGGCAGTGCTGCTCTTGCAAGAACATGAACAATCCCTCTCTCTGCTCCGGTCGATGCACGGTTTGCGGTCACTGGCCATGCGATTCTTGTGGCCCTGCTTGATTCTGACGACGTGCGGCCATGAAGATGGGCTTGAGTTCTATCAGCACTAGCTTCATTGCTTCCTCTGGTCGCTTAACCCAAATGTACCCTTGATTGTGCTGCATGTCCCCGGCGCGGGCGTGCTGCTCTGAGTGGGCAGCTTCCCTGTTTTCCTTTCTCTCGGCTGTTTTACTATTATTCTTGATTTTGTTATTCTCCTAAAGTTGCAGCTTTTCTTTATGATCTCGGTTCCGATTCACTAAAGATTTCTTCTTTCCTTCTCCTTTCCCCGAATGTTTACTATATCCTGCTTTGATCTTTTCTTTGTTATTCTGCTCAAGTTGCGGCTTCTTTTCTTCTTATTTCGGTTTCTGTTCACTAGACTTCTTTTTCTTTTTCTCTTCTCCTACTGTCTACTCCCTTGTGTCTTCAACTTCTGTTTGGCTCAGATTGTTCGGATATTGTCTTTATTACTGTTCTTGTTCCCTGCCCATATGATGTACTGAAACCCGGCGTTGTTGCATACGGTTTTAGATCTTATTGTCTTCCCTCGCATACTGCATCTTGCATATTGCATTTAGACTCGGCGTCGGCGCTGGATTAACTTACTTATACCAAGACTCATGACTATAGACTTGCCTCAATCAAACAAGCACCATACCAATACAATCAAATGACTCACTCAATTTCGCCTCGCAGGACAAGTTGCACACGTAGCAATATCAGGGCGATGTAGTCCGTGTCCGAGTATCACGAACTTGAAGCAGAAAATCCCGCAGTGGAGAACCAACGGCCCAGGGCGAGGTGCGTTCGTTGCCCTCAAGATGAGGCTGCATGAGCCTTGGAACCTTAGGGACGGACTTGGCTCGCTGGCTAGTTGGTTAGGGCTTCGCCCAGCCATGACCCGGGGCGCAGCAGCAGCCATGGTCCGTCCGCGTTCTACTCGGAGTAGGCTAGCTTACGGTACATCAGGCGTCCCATACGAGTGTTGGATTTTGGTTTGCGATGATTGGCCATTCTCTTGTCTGCTGGAATGTTTCAGAGGCGTTGCAGTGTGGCTGTTAGAGAGTATTGTGGCTAAGACTCGACGCCTGACTCTGGAAACTGCGGTCTCCGCGGAGTCCGGGCCATGGTCGAGCTTACGGTGCCTGGGCGGAAAACGGATGGATGGGATGGGTACCCAAGGCTCATTTTGGATCAGGGGCATTCCATTACGTAGAGTCCTAGTACACACAGTGGCTTTGATACATGTATTTTCCGACGGAATACACAATCGGTGCCCGGGTATGGTATGGCTCGTGGCTCATCCAAGATCATCCCGATAGACTCTTCAGATAAGCTCAGCTTAGCCGCCCAGACTGGACCCTTGGAATCCTTCCCATCCATGTGTACAGAACGAGATCAGAATCGGCGAGCCGAACGACCCCGAGAAAGACCGGGTTATCGGGTTCAGCATCTGATCTCGGTAGAAGGATACTCTCGGTTTCATGTACTCTCGATTGGACGGCATTTCCGAGACCAGGCTGAACACGTCTTGCCGAGTTGCCCGATGACTAGGACTACATAGGAGATTGAGATCTCGCCTAGATGGTGAGATCGGAGATGAATCCCGAGTATGGAGTATCATCGATTCATCATGATCTTCCGTGCGTTCCACTGGGGGATCCCCGGAATCCGGGGTCCGAGATCTTACATGATCCTGCATCATGAGTCAGTTTCCACGGATCCCGAGAGAATAGCGTATAGCAGGCCCGGAGTTCTAGAGAACGAGTCATGCATAGTGAACGGTTGGCTAGCATCTTCCGTCTTCTCCGGACGTTGCAGCGACAGGGGCAGGGGATCATCGCAGGGCGAACCCTTATGCACCCTTGGTCAGCAACGTGCAATCCTAGGGGATAAAGAGAGGTAGATGAGTTAAGCCCTGGCTCTGTGAGCTAGGACAGGGTGATTCACGCTAGATGCGTCTACCCCAGCATCCTATGATCATCCCCTTCAACGACTGGGGGCTTACCAACAGCACCGAAAGCCGTCTTATCAGTCCAGTGAACCAACAATTTCAAGTACGCAGAATCATGAATCCAACACCAAACCGACTAAAATGATCGCCGTCATCTGCAATGCCGATGCAGCCATCCGTGGCAGCGCGTCCAAGTGCCGGCGTCCCTCCGCGCGCCCGGGCGTGGCAGCCACGATTGATACGATTGATACGGACACTGCGCCATGTGTGTTTCACCCAGTCGAGTTTCATACTAAGACATACACCAGCTGATTGCCGGTGCGGGTCCTGATACGGGGCCGAGTATGTAGGTCCGTGCAGGCTGTGGGTTTGGTAGAAGGGCCGGGCCGCGTCCATGGAAGGAGAACGAGACAGTTATGTTGGTTGGCACTTGGCACATGCTTTGGTTGGATGGCTGAGGAATGTAGAGAACACTGCCCTGTGATACTGATGCCATGCGATGCCATGCGATACCTCCCCCTTGCACAAGACAGCAGGGCAGTGTAGGGCTGGATCTGAATGGCGGATGAACAAGGCAGTTGTTCGCGGAATTGTTTATTCTTGGATTAGCTTTTGGTTTTGGCCCCCGCATACATAACCTCTGAATAACCGCTCAGTCAGTATTAACATTGCCATTGCCGGCAGTGGACGTGGTACGAGCCACGGCCCCTGGCATCGCATGGCAGCAGGGATATAGATGAATCTGCAGCCGGCTAAGAAGTGCCCTGCTAATATTAGCGCACCGCACCCGCGACTCGACTCGTGTTCGTGCGACTGCGACGGCACCGGCAGATTTGTCAACAACCTGGTCATCTGGAGGGACCTATTAATGGAGCCTGTTCACGAGGTAAACGAGAACGAGCTCTGTTTGAGTCGGTTTCGATAAAGATAGAACAGGAGTAGAGGGTAGATGAAGGCGAGGGAAGTAAACTGTATACAAGCAGTTAAAAGTTTGAGATTGAGTGGGGTCCGGCAGCGGGCGTCTCCTCCCGACCACCTCGACACAAACACAAACACAAGTACCTCAAGGTCAAGGCGCAAGCAAGCCATCATCAAACAAACACCACAAGCTCGCGAAGCTCAAAAAAACAAACCCAACATGTTTGCAAATCCAACATTGAAAACAAAACAAGCAACGAAACCCAAAGCAATGACATGACCGACTCAACACAGCCTCAAAAACAAGGCGAATGAGTCAACCCAGCGCATGAATGACGGACCTCTGTGTCATAATTCATTTCTCTGATGGGCGATCGTAATCGTGCATGAACGCAAGTGTCACTGCTGTTCGACCCTCGAACAAAAGCAATAGAAAGTCGGAGCTGAACACCCCCACAAGGCTCGAGCCCGCTGAAAAAGCGTTGAACACCGCTCTTTGGCTTATGTCCTGCAGCCGTTTGTATAGCGAACCGGCGGTGTTGGCGCATGGCGTGGGGTCGGTGACCGATGCCCCACCTTGAGTCTGCATACTTGACAGTAGTGACAGCTGGAGTATGGAGACTGGATCGCCTCGGTAGTTTACTCCGTATCCAAGTGTAGGACATCATAGCTGAGGCTGCTAGAGTTTCAGTGTCTTGTTATTGCAGCAGCAGCGGGAGTGACGACGGTCTAGCCGGAGCTGGCAGAGCAGTCGGGGCCGAGGCGTACCTATTGCTCCACCGCTGTCACAGGAAGTACTGTAGTAGTAAGTACAAGGTTTAGATGCGGCTGAATGACTAGACTGCACTGCACTGCAGTTTAGTTCGTCGACTTCAGTCTACTAGCTTCTCCTAATCTTAAAAATAACTATGATATTTCTGATGTACTCGATATCGATATTGACGATGTAGACCCTATGTAATCAGTAACCTCTACTGAGTAAGACGGCTGTCGGCTGCAAGGAACCTTACTAGGAGCATTCTTCAAGCTCAGCCAGTCAGATAAAAATAGCCGATGGATTATTCTTTATTCTGCAAGCTCCGATCTTCAAAGACAAAAAAAGCAACCATGAGATTGAGTTTGAGCGGAAATGTAGTAACAAGACAAGAAAAGTAACCAACGCCGAGTCCCTCACGCCTGCACAATTATCCCATTGTCTTTGAGGAGGCCAGCTCCCTCGTAATATTCCAAATCATTCAAAACCCAACAAATCGAAGTGAAATCCGGTGTATGTGTAACCCCAAACAATGCCCAAGTCTAGAACGATATCCCAAAAAAGCTCATTCCGCTGTATCGCATGCCATGCTGTGTCGTAACTGTCCTTCCTTCAAGAACCAAAAGCAAATGTCAATCAAGTGCGCGTAGACGAATCGTAAATCTGCACCCCGTTAGCCTGGGTTCTATGGTTCCTCCAACTGTCGCTTCACTGACCTCAGTTGACTGGCAGTCGCGTTCATTTGACGCGAGAGCATATATAACAGGCCTCATGTTGGCACATGACGCACTGAGTCTGATGGCTGTACACTTTTGGGCCGTCGCCGCATTTGCAGCACACCCACATCTCGGTGTTGCTATAGTAGTTTGGTCGTCGGATATGGCTGTGGCCATGGACGTGATGGGAGCGACCAATGTGCTCAAGCGGTGATGCGTCCATGTCCAAGGAGCCAGAGAGGGCAGACAGAGGCCGGTAAGTCTCGGGGACTGAAGACGGAGCAATGAAGGAAGACATTGTGATATCGGGTTGAGGTAGACTTTCGTGTAAGATAGACAGATTGCTTGTTGTTGCTTGAGGGTAGTGTGTGTCGTATAGACTTGTAGTCAAGTGAGGATGTTGTCGAAGATGAGTGAGGTGCGAATTGACGAGACTGAAGGAGGGGGCAGCGAGTGCCTTAAGTATTAAACATCCAAGTCGTATATGTATGATTCAGAGCTCTCCCAGGCAGATCCCAGCCAGGCATCACGCCCAAAACGGGCTATGCCTGAGCCACACTGTGGATAAACCCCAGCGCAGGCACCTTTCACCCCCTCTGACATCTAGTCTAGATCGAACCCAGGCAAGGCGGAGCCTGATTCGTGCCTGCATAATTCAGTCATTTCCTTTCAGCGCTCATGTTAATCTAGAATAATTACTTACCTTGCTAACGTTGAGTCAGCCCTGATCACGCTGGCCTGCCTTTCGAGGCTCCCACGCCATACGCCCGCCTTTGCCCCGAAGGCTCCGCTCCCCGGCCCCCTAAAGGGCCGTCTGTCTTTGAGAGCTGAGCATTGCGCGGTTTCATTGTTTTGGACCGTTTCACTGTCAGCTCGGATCTGGTGCTGGTATATTTCGTGGTATATTGGATTATGGTTCTTTGCTGGAGCGGCAGGATGGTTGGTGCACTAGGTACCGTAGGCAGGCATGGCTTGCTCGGGGCACTAGGTAAGCTCTAACGCTTGGAAAATGAACAGCCTCAGGATCCACTCCGGCGCCCTGCACAGTGCACTGCGCTGCTGAATGATGGAGAGGCAGTGGATCTTAGTGGTCTCAAATTGCTATTTCCGCAATGGTAATTATTGCAGACTCCCCGATCACCTGTTACAGTTCAGGCTGTCCCGGGCGAGGTGATACCTAGTACTCCGCTTCTGAGTTCTCAGGTCAGCAGGCACCAACGGCCTTGCTGCCTTCGGCTTTGAAAAATACATTTCGTCGCTGGCTCTCGGTATCTACAATTTACGATTCGCTGTTGACAGGCCGTTGATTATTGTTGGTTCTTTGTGCTACACCTCAAAGACGCCATTGAAGATCAGTGCAGGGGCCTATGACTGCAGGAATCCCGACTACCAACTCCTCGGATTCCTCTTGTTGCGCCCGCGCCTAAGTAGGTGCTTTTGCTTGGATCGGCCTTAGCAAAGCCCATACTATAGCCTATCGCCCGGGTTTGCGCGTATTTCCAAATCAAGCCCGACACCGTGTACGCCCCGGTGCCTCTTTGCCCTCCCGCCTATACTCCTACACCGGTCGCGATGCCTGCATTGACTGGATTGACTGGACTGAGGCAGAAAAATTCATGCCTATCTAGCGGTGGACACCGTAACTGGTCAAGTCGTAGGTACGGGGTACGTCGATACGAGGTGACGCACTGACTATAGTATGATTAGTATCGCGATGCTGCGTCTGGCCTCCCGTCTTCGCGGGTGAACCCGTCCATGTCAAATCCACTTTCCAGGCATCGCGGTTTCTCGCATTGCGGCATTACTTGAGCAGATCGGCGTTTGATGACGCATTGTCAAGACGCCGTTGGAGGGGCCGGTTGCCTAAGGTTGATTTCGAAGCATTTGAAATGCCCCTCGCCAGATGCTCCAGTGGAAGATGCAAAGGCGGATGAACGGTGGGCTGGCAACGTGCCAAGGAGACAATCATTGTCATCACGTGGCTGTTTGCACTGTTTGCAGCTGCTATCACAAGCCAAGTTTATCGCAACATACTGCGACGTCAGCATCCTCATCCTTGTAATTCAGGTCTATCGCGACCCGATCATGCATTCTACGGGTCTATGTCGTACACTGCTTATTCTATAACACTCCAATGCGGAGCCGCTGTACCCGCGGCATCCCGTCAGTAACGCGAAATGGCCAGGCAAGCAGACCGACGCATCAATCTCGCCGTTGCCCGCGCCATTCCCGGGGTCCTTTTCGGAATAATCATCTACTCTTGCTATGCGATTACCAAGCCGCTATGCAGTGAGTTTGTAATCACTCGCGATGGTGTAACTCAGTGCTAATGCCAGATAGTCGACTACCTGATCAACCCCTTGCCGAAGTATGACCGTCCCAGCCGCATTGGCGCCGCCGCACCTATACTCGTCGTATTCTATATCCTTCTGCTATTCGTGATCATAACCTACCTCCGATTACTGGACAACGTCGTCTGGAACCCCGATCTGCTCCCCAGGTCAGCAGTCGCTGATCAACAATCTACGCATTCACGGCAGTCGCAGGACCGCTCCCGGAGGAAGAGAAAGGGGCATCGGCATCGGAAATCGAAGGGTGACGAGCTGTCGGATAAGCCTACTGGCGATGTCGAAAGGGCATTAGATTATAATGCGGGGCCGATAATGCTTCCGTGGGATACAGCTGGATTGGAGTACTTCTACAAGAAGGACGTCTTTGTGTGCCAACCGGACGGGAGACCTATATATTGCTCGAAATGCTGTCACTATAAGCCGGACCGGACACATCATTGCCGCGAGGTCGACCGGTGTGTTCGGAAGATGGACCACTTCTGCCCTTGGTGAGTTTTGCTTCCTTGTCGTTAGCGGCGTGTCTGACAGCTTGAAGGGTAGGAGGGGTTGTGTCGGAGAACTCGTTCAAGTTCTTCATCCAGTTCGTCTTCTACACGGCGCTGTTTTGTATAACTGTACTCGTTGTCTGCGCTATTTATACTGCTGAGCTGAGGCGAGATGTGAGTCTTTTCTCCATATGGATGAATCCATGCTAAGTTTTCTAGACCGGCGATGTTAACCCCCATTGGACTATCGGCCTTGGTTTGTATGTACTCGCCCTGGTAGCATGATCTTACCATCTACTAACGGATGTTAGGAGTGGCTTCTTTGGCATATTTACTGTTGGAATGACTCTCAGCTCTCTACAACTGGCCGCATTTAATCTGACAACAATCGAAAACCTCAATCGGCGGTCCGCTGTGTGGTCATTAGCTATCCGCGTTCCGAGCCATCTGCTCCGGTCACGCTGGGCTCCAACCTTTCGCACTATCACCTATCCACTACCACCCGTGCCACCAATACCACCTCCAATGCCCACGCAGTCTGCGCCGGGAGAAGGCAATCAACCTCCTCAACATGCACCACCACCACCTCCTCCTCCTCCTCCTCCAGCCGACCCATCAGAACAACATGTCTTTGCCATCCTCCAAACCCTCCCCGGCGAGAACCCTTTCGCCCTCGGCAGTCCGCTCAAGAATCTGCAACAGATTCTCGGTCATTCTATTATTGATTGGCTCCTCCCCATCAAGCGCAGCCCGTGCGTTGACCACAGCAATGCGGAGAGTGAGTTCGCCATGGGGCCGGTGGTTACCCGGTTGAAGAAGGAGGCCGGGCTAGAACCTACAATCAATACTCAGAACAATGATGATACCTCCGCGGACGAGCCCACAAATGACCAGCCAAAACGCAAACGAAGACGAGGGAAGCATCATCATCACCACCACCATCAGTATCCACCAATGGCCGAAACGACCTGATCGGGCTTTCAAGTTGGCATTGGCATTGGTTATAGACACTAATTGGAGGCTTTTCTTTTTGTTTTGCATATCTACTTATTGGCTATTGGATGATTAGGTTCTGCTTGGGCGTTGGGTATAGAGGGCTATTCAGGTTATGTTGCTTCACCTACTTTCTGTCTGACACCTTGGTACATAGCGGCTTGTTTTCTATCTACATATTAATTGCTTATCCGCACCGCGCTCGTCGATCCTTGGCATCATTTTCCTGCCAGTCAGTGGCTTATCTCCATCCACGACATATTTATCTTCTACCAACTCGTAAAAGGGTCTCATCCCTAGTACGCGCCACCGGACCGGGCCTGGCCCGATTCTCTTAATGTGCTTAAGCTCGACCGTGCCCGAGGATCCAGTGTCAGCGTTAGATACTATGATGGGGCCGCGGCTATGATGCTAGTGAGTCTGAGTGGGAGCAAAAAAAGCAAGCGCATTGCAAGGGCCGTAGCTTCTACGCACACGCATACGCAGCAACCGTGACGGGTACTATAGATAGAGTAAAAGACTGGATGATGATATGGGAGGAAGGCCGAGTAGCATAGAGGTATTGAAGGGTCTGAACTTGCAAATTGTCTCTGTAAGGTTTCTTCTTCATACCGGACATGTCTGAATTCCTCTCTAGCCCTCTGGTTATGGTCGAGAGTTCAATTTTGTTTACGATGACGCAATGCATTCATGAGCATACCATCTACGGAGTAATCCGCTGCGTACGATAGGCAGAAACCCGGGATGGATGATTGTCAGGGCAAGAACTGCAATTGAGAAGTCCAGAGTGCAAGGATGGTTCGCATATGCTTTCGGAGTAAATTAGACCAGGAGCAGGCAGAAATATATAGAATGTGATGGAGTCGAGAGCCCTAAGAACCCCTGATCAGCTTGGCTGCTGTGGCTCGAATGCTCGATGCAAGGCCAGAACGCCGAAGCTCCAGGGAGATAAAATCCAAATCGGCATGATGCAAGGCACCGACCTCACCAAGCTCTCCGATCTCAGATCAACAATGAACACCCAGGGGCAGAGTGGTTCTGGGATTTCTGGATGAAGCGCGCCGATCCTGTGGCTGAGTGGTTTCCGTTGGTTGCTGGGGACCACTTCTATGACGTAGCGCTCCTGATCGGGAATAGCCTCAATTCGCTGTTCGTCTTGCACCACGGCCCATGGCCAGAATTCATCGTCCATCGTCATCGATTCCTCAGATCGACCCTTTTTCGCTTCTTGGTTCTGTATCTCTAATTTCTTTTCTTTCGCTTCTTCTATCTGCTGTTTCCCCTTCATCTCTCTTTTCTCCACGCTCCTCCCTTTCCTTCCCCCTCCTCCCTTTCACTCGTTCGATCTCGCGTTGGCTTCCCGTCCCTCGGCGCTGCCTCCGCCTTCTTCGCGCTAATTACCGGTCGATCTCACGGTCCACCGACCCCCGACTCCGAGAGCTTCAAGCGACAATTCCAACGGCTGCCTTTTGCACACTCTTGCGTCGCTCTCTAGCAGACGCTCGCTGAGCCATGTTCCGCCGAAAGAGGAGCGCGTCGCAACATCGGGTATGCTCTTCGGTGAACTGCATTACCTTTCCCTCTCCCCGAACCACGTCACTTCGTTCGTTGGCAGTCGCTTACTGACCCTATACAGCATCAGCACCAGCTCTCGAGTTCCAACACGCAAAATGCGCAATCCGCCGCTACCCGTGCCTTCATTCAATCGCAGCCTTCGTCCAGTAACCTCTCCTCCGCCGCCGCCGCTGCCGCCCTCCGCAGTCTGACACCTACCCCGACCCCTGTCGAAAATGTCCAGACAAAGCGTATGCTCCAGCGGAAGTCGTCCATCTCGTCACAGCCAGCCGGGTCGCCCACTCTCCGCCCATCAAGTCGCAATGGCCTACGACGGTCTAATAGTTCGGCCTCCATGAGTGCCCGCACGTTCCGGGATCAGTCACCCGGTCGCCCGTCCTCGAGCTACTCAACAATGTCTACGCCGGCCGTTGCGCCGCCGCTTCCATCGATTCCGACGGAGTTCTCTGGGCGGAGGAACCAGAGTCGACGATCTGTCAGCCTGGGACCTAGCGCGTTGTCGCCGAGTCCACGAACACAGCCCACAGAGGCGAGAAGCATTAGGTCACCGGTAACTGTACCTGACAGTCCGCGGGTTGTCGCTAGCCCAGGAGCTGGATCGGGCTCGCCGCTGCATCAGAGGTCAGAAAGCAGGAATTCGATCAATTTCTCGTATCCGATGAATTCTCGAACGAACTCCCCGACGATACCCTCGGGGTTTCCTGATCGTCAAGACGCCGCTGCGAGTGCATCCGCTTCGCTCAACAAGCGCTCTAGCGCTCATTATAATAAAAACAAAGCACAAGCTGCTGCACCCGGAAGTCCCGCGAGAAACTCCCTTCCGGTAATAACCGCGCTTGCCGCAGCTCAGGCCGTGACAGTGACTCGGAATGATGAGCCGAACACTCCACCGGTCTCTTCTCGCCCGGCACGTCAACCACCAGCTATTGAACGGTCGCCCAGCCGGAGCCCAGCCACGTTGGGCGTCAAGCAACGTCCCGTAGTCACTAAATCGTCCGCGGTTGCTGAAGACCGCCCGGCTAAGGAACATTCTCGTCCCTCGCCTACACCATCACCGTCACCTGCATCAGTACCACCCGCGCCCGCGCCCGCACCTACACCTATACCCGCACCAGCATCAGCACCAGCATCAACACCTGTGAAAGAGCAGGAGAATCAGCCGTTGGCGTTGCGTTCAAAAGAACCGCCAAGGGCTCCAACACCGCCGGTTGCTGAAAAAGTCGCACGGACGCCCCCGGTTAGTCCACCACAAGTGAAACCCACCGCGAAACCAGATGGAGAGGCCCAGTCGGCACCCCTACCTCAACCTAGTAGCCCCTCGAGATCAGCTCATTTCTCGAGTCAACTGGCTGTGATAAGCCTTCCGGGCGACCAACTACACCAGCCTCCTGCTCGTTCTATATCACCGGCCAAGTCCGCTCTGAAGAATCGAAACAGCTCTCTGTCACCCGACGGGAGGCTCTCCGGGATTCTTCGTCCTGGTCCATCACTCAGCGAGCTTTCAGACGCGACTTCTGTGGCGTCCGACGATGGTGCAAGACCCAACCATCGCAAGAAGCCCGTCAAAGTTAGTTTTGACGATGAGGCGGAAATTGTTGGGGTGGCTGCTAGCCCTCCAACGTCACCAGAGGATGTCGTCCCTGAATCGCCCCCAGGAAGATCAAAGTCGAAAACAAGCTGGTTCCATCTTCACAAACGGAAGTCCTCGCCCTTGCGGTCCACCGATGGAAACGAATTCGATGAGGTGTTGAAACCTCGTGCAGCTTTACCATCTTTCGGCAGCATCCGAGGTAATAAAGATGGCGCGCGTGCGGAGGCGACAGTTCAGCACGATGTGGATGATGACTCTGTGTCCGAATCGGACGATGATTTCCCCAACGGTCATGCTATTAATAATATCATTTCTCGTGCGTCGGAAGCGAACGTGCCGGAGCAGGAACAGTCTTATGTTGCACAGCCTGCGGTGTCCACTGATGCCGCTGCAAAGGATGATGCAGAGAAGGAAGCTATTGATGACTATGAGTTGGAGCCTGGGTTCTTCCAGAAGACGCAGCTATCGCCGTTGGTCGAGGTCCCGTCTGATCAGAATCTTCCCCTCTCTGACGAACCGGACCTGGAAATGCCTGATATTCCTGGCATGCCTGATATCACACTTCACCCGGCGACTCCTGATCCTGAAAAGGGAAGGACAAGCCTTGAGAGGTGGGATAGCCCAGAGGAATACCCACGCCAGTCTATCGAAGTGGAGCCCGAAGAGACGAGTCAACTTAAGGGAAAGAGGAGGGATTCAGCTGATAATGATTCCAGCTCGAGCGTGTACAGCGATGCAGAGGAGGATCTGGATGGCTCAGGCTTTGGTTCTATCAACGCCATTGTTGATCACGAAAAAGCACATTCGGAGCCAGGAGTTGCAGTCACGACGCCGGATGACGAAACACGCTATGCTGAACGCGATCCAAATGCGACCGGCATCCCGGAGACCTGCCAGATCGCACGTGTGCAGACTCCTGTTCAGGAACAGTCAAAGTCTCCAGCGCCCAGTTCGCCCGGTTTGATTGAGCCACTTCCGCTCTCCTCGCCGCCAGCGCAGTCTGAGGAGAACAGGCATCCCGTTCAGAGAGGGGTCAGCCCTTCTTCAACAGTACCGGTGGAAGTCTATAGCATTGCCAGCGCACGAGATTATGACCCCAAGGAGGTGGATGCTCGCCCGAGGCAAGTCAAGTCCAACAGCCCCAATGCCCAGAGAGCTCAACGTCAAAGCCAAAAACGTCCTGAACCCTCGGCACCTACCACACGAAAAGAAGTCAATAGTCCAGACCTCGCTGACCTGGAGGCGAACGGCGGTGCTCACATGCCTCGACGTCAGCTCTCAAACGGAAGTGACTCGTCGAGCAGTTTTAAACGAGCTCGACGGGGTAGTCGCGGCGGGATAGGCATGAGAAGGACTTTACGAAGCCAAGAAAGCAGCTCGGTCCCTCCTTCCTCTACGAGAGTAGCCGCTCCTGTTGATCCTCCCCCCATGCCCTCTGGCTTAGGAGCAGGTACCATGCGCACAACTTTGCGGAATAATACCTCGCGGAAAGAGAAGCCATCTTTCTTCTCTACTGGCAAGACGCATAAAGGAAAGTTTGCGAAGGGCGCCAGCACACCGTTTTCTTCCCGATTCCCGGACTCGGAATCGGACTCTGATGACGGCGTCCAGAACCGAAGACTGCAACGTCCAGGCCACCGTTCGGTCAGAAGCATGAGCGATAATGACATGCGTCCTGTTCGCGGTATCCCGCGCCGGAAGGACGCCTATGACGGGGACTCTACTGAGCTAGAAGACAGCTCTGATGGCGAAAGGCGCCCTAGCTCTGCACCAAGAGGCTCAACGGCGAAAGCTTCCGCGCGCCAACCCCAGTCTTCAACTGTCCGAGACCCTGCGCTGGCTGCAGTGGCGAAATCTCGTGGCATGACGGAAGACGAACTGGAGGAAATGCTCAATCGTGGCTCTCGCAAGCCCAGCCTTCTCAACCGCCTAAGTATGAGGAAGTCGAAACCGGTTACGCAACGCGGAAAATTGCAGTTGTCCGAGGCGCTCTCGAATGGGACAATCCCAGAGCATCCGCAGGCGCAAGTTTACCCCGCAGAAGCTGCGAACAACAGCCCCAGGGCTCTGGCAAGTTCCTCGAAATTGACAAAGAAGTCTCTCCAGAAGTCATCTCCGGGTGACACCTGGCCTCTGAGCTCTGAACAAGCCGAACCCGTCGATTCCGCCATTGGATCGGTATCATCACCCTCGACCGCACAAAACTCCGTAAGGCCGCAAACGCCGAACGGACGTACGGTTAACGGAAACGAACCCGTCCCGCCTGAGCAGACTTTCGGTATCACTACAGAGTGTACACCGGCGAATGGCCAAAACCAGGACAAACCTGCCGTCAAGGGCAACCGTGCCTCGGATGTGGTCATTGAAGGATCCGGACGCAAGAAGCGATTCCAGCGCTTAAAGAAAGCATTTGGCATCGGCAAGTAGTTTTGTCGAGACTGCAAGTTACTAGGGAGTATCTTCTCTCTTGCATTTGACGACCTCATTTGAACATTCCACGTTCCCAACTGCGTCTTCACCATTCATAATTCCTTCTTTTCTTCTCATCTTCTTTCTTTCGCCCCATGTCTCTTCAGATATATTGTTTTAATATCTGTCGCTTTATACCATACCACATCATATCACTTACGGACATCTGTCTCTATGATCTGACTTAATGGATTGCCAGCCCGCAGGAGCCACTTGTTACTGCTACTGCTGTCTGCGACGGCAGATAATATGCGACTGGCACGTCTTTCCTTCTTTTCTGATGAATACTATTGATACCCTCGTTTGGTCTGTGGCTGCGGCAATTTCCAAGCCGATCTCGGGCGAAATGCCCATGGCCGACTCAGCCTTACTCATGTTATATATGAAAAATGATCTTTTGGAAATGGAATATATGGGAGGCCGTGAATCATAATTTATTATTCATTATATCTTGTTCGCCTCGTGTACAGGTTGTCCGTTGAAAAGATGCAGGGGAGATCTAGGTCGTTGTATGATATCCATAGATGAGCTACCACTGTCAGCCTTCAAGCAGCTACAAGAAAGATTATCTATATAATACGAGATTGGCCTATCTACGTAGCGCTGTAGGAACTCTGGGTACTTTGGGCGAGCGGCTGAAGCTATCAAGAAGAAGATCTTGAAGAGCTACGATTGATGTCAATAGAGTATGTAGTATGCTTCGTGTTGCCAATTCGATTATAGCCTTGTGGTACGGAGTAATGGGACGGAACATGCGATTATCTATCTACTCCGGGTGCAACTCTCACCTGAACGTGGATCGGACACTTCCCACCTTTTGCCTGTTATTTGGCTTGTCCGACAACGCTTTGGAGCATGCATAGAACTAGAAAGTCCAACTCAGCTACTGCCGTTGACAAAGGGGCCATGGTCAGTCTGCCAAATGAAGACGACTTTGATACGCTAGTTGCTATAGTGAGGACACGAGTCGAGCCTAACAATGGAAATGTCCTTCCGAAGAACTGATGAAGATATTGGCCATTGTCGACTTGTCGGTAGCGGCCCGTCGGTACATGGGATTTTGGTATTTCCCCGTTAGTGAGGACGCCAGAATCCCTGGGCATAGGGTTGCCGGTCCCAACAGTACTTAGAGAAGCATACTGCTTTGATTTGCCGATTTCTGGCATCGAAAGCCTAGTGATCTTAGTACTGCGCCCAAGGTAGATCTACGATCGTTGTTTCGTTAACAACCGTAGCATACACGAAAGATATGCTGTGTAGTATTCATCGCGAGTATAGAGCATCTGGTGCGAGCAGCTCGGAAGAGTTCTCCATTATTCCTGTATGTGGTCATTGTTGATATCATATGCGGACCATGGCGGCCCTGAGTGAGGCGAGCTGGAGCTCTGGATGTTGGCGGCGCAACAACCTCGGGACGGAATCAACCTCCACTCCCGATCGATGGATTGGATCGACTCCACACGGCACCCCAGCACTGAACCAGCCACTGTTGTTTCTGTTCCAAGGCTCGGTCGTCAGGGCTCCGGTTCCAGGAACTGTGATATCGAGTCCAGACTCAATTGACTCTGTAGCGATGGAAGAGAAAGCAGAAGGTTGGGCAAGCTAGAAGTTGAAGAACGGGTAATCTCACCGAAGGTCTGGGTGCTAAATCGCGAGCAATCAATTCCCGGCCCATCAGACTCAGGCTCAGCTGAAGCTCAGAGCAAAAGACCGTGCTTTCTTACAGTGGAGCCGCGAAGTGGCGGGGCGAAGGAAAGCTGACTTTCTCCAAGGACATCGCCAAATCCAATAGCAACAAACCACGAGGTTGGGTGCTTGGTCAAATCACGGGCATGATCTGATGAGTCTTGAAAGCTAGTTTCAGGTGTCCGGACCGTCGTCAATAATATGGGCGTGGAATTGGCGAGGTTGGGCTTGACCCGTGCTCGATTGGAGCATCGCATTCGTTCCTCGTCGATCGTGCCGAAGCTCGGCGGAGTCGGCGCTAAAATAAGCCGATTATTATTAGACGTTGTTGCCTGTTGCCATGGTGATGTGTGATGTGGCTGGGAGGGGGAGCTGTGCGATGATGCGATTGGGGTTGCTCATTGGGGGACGATCGGTGCTTTTGGACACTTGATTTTGGTGCTGATGCATGTGATAAGGCGTGTTTCGCTGCTTCCCAAGGCCAATTTTGGGTTTCTCATTGAAGGAGGATGTGGTTCTAGTCTTGCTGCAGAGGTGGCTGATGGAGACGGTGGACGTGTGTTTTGTGCATTGCCATTTGACCTGGTAGGGCTGGTATCAATTGACTGAACTGAAATGTATTGACAAGAGCGACATTCTCCAGGTGAGACCTGGAGCTGATTCACATCAACGGCGATTCATTTTCTGGTTCGAGGGCAGTGTACCGTAGATAGAGCGTTGTAGCAGAGAGGCAGAGCAGGGAAGAGAGGAGGCTGGACCGATCCGGAAAGGTGCGGTAAACAAACGCGTAACAACAGATAAAGGCTGGCCTTGACCACCTCCCCTCCCTCTCTTCTCTCTTCCTCTCCATCTCCATCTTCATTCCATTCATCTCATCTCCCATTCCAGCTTTTTTAAGCTTATCCTCACATTCCTACCCCAGGAATTCTCCGCACCCGCAGTCAGGCATAGATCTCTCGCTAGATCTATCTTGCACTCCGCTCTTCTCTACGAGAAAGACTTCCCCCGTGAAAAGTCTTTTCTTGTCTCATCTTCCGAGTTGTTATTCTTAACAGTTCGGGAGAGATTCGAGAAAAGACGCTCAAAGGACAGCCAACCTGGACTTTGACGCCCGCGTCCCCATCCCCTTCAGTGTCTTCCCGTCGTCGTACCGGAGTGACGCTGTTCCTGAGACTACTCCTGCGCCTGAGAGAGTAGAGGGAGAAGTCAACCTCGTTAGCACTTCGCACGTCGAACGGGAAGATACTCGAACCTCTGCTCCTCTCCCCGACCCCAAAGTCTACGGAAAGGAAGAAGTCGATCTTCACGTCGAACGTCGCTCTGATCGCCGAGGTGACAACTGGACTGTTGTCGACGAACGTGTGCAGGAATCCCGCTATCCCCAGGTAGACCTCGCCCGTGACCGGTACGTATACGATTTTCCTTCCGTTAGGCACCTTTCTGCGTTTGTTTACTGTTTACTGTTTACCCCAATGAAACGCCCCGAGTGGAGAGCACAACAAGCGGTGTCACCCCCGGCCCCGAGCTCGACCACTGGAGACTTGGTGGCTGGGGGCTAGACAGCTCTAGTCCCTCCGCTAGTTTACGTGGCTCCAGAATCAAAACAAAATCCGATTGTCCCAGCCCCAAATAAAAACAATCCAATCATGCCCGCTCCCCGGCCTCCGCGTCTTTTCCTCGTGTCCTCTTGTGTACTTCACCTTACCTGACCTTACCCGACCTTACCTCGCCTCACCTTACCTTGTTTACCTTACCTACCTTGTGTCACCCTTGCATCTTCTAACGTGCTCTACCTTAGCTACCGCGAACAAACCCCTGCGCCTCGCCAGCCCAACTACTACCAGGACTACTATCAAGACAAGAAGCAGACCTACGACACCGCTCTTGAGAAGCAGCTCGACAGAACTGAGCACGAGTACCGCCGTCGCTTCGACCCAACCTACGACGTTCAATCCTCTTACAGTCGCTCCCGAGGCCCTGTAGAGTCCTTTGAAGCTCCTCATCAGCAAACCTCTGACGTCTACAGCCGCACCTCTGCGCCTAAAGTCACCTCCTACGAGCGCGACTTCCAGACCCGCAACCTCGACGTCACTCGCGGAGACTCTTACACCGACCGCCAGGTTAGCGTAGAGAGTGTCAAGCCCCTTCCTGCTCCTAGCACCTCTCAAGTCAAGGTTCTCAAGACCACTACCGTAGTTGATCACCCCAAAGCTCGCAAGATGGGTTACTACGACGACGACGGTAACTACCACTCCTTCCGTCGTGGTGTGGAACGCGCTGTCGACCGCATCACGCACCCCTTCCATCACCACCATGACCATCATGACCACCATGACACCCACGCCCACCGCGAGGAAGTTGTTGTCGCTGACGACCGGGTTTCAGTTCGCGCTAGCGAGAATGTCCGCATTGTCGAGCCTCGTGGTGGCGGTTCTCCCGCCGAGACCGTTCCGATTCCCACTCACTTCATCCGTGTCGGCGACATCCTTGTTCTCCAGGGCCGTCCCTGCCAGGTCATCCGCATCTCTACCTCTCCCATGACCGACCAACGCCGCTACACCGGTGTTGATCTCTTCACCCGCGAGCTTCACGAGGAGTCCAGCTTCATCTCCAACCCTAAGCCCTCCGTTGTCGTCCAGACCATGCTTGGTCCGGTCTACAAGACCTACCGCATCCTTGACATCCAAGATGGCACCATTGTTGCCCTCACCGAGGGTGGCGATGTCAAGAGCGGCATCCCCGTTGTTCCCCAGAACAAACTGTACCAGCGCATCAAGGAAGCCTTCCACGAGGGTCGTGGCGGCTCTGTCCGCGCTCTGGTCATCAACGACGGAGGCCGCGAGCTGGTTGTTGACTACAAGCTCATCCACTCTTCTCGTCTGTAAGCGTCTCGCTCTTTAGGGTTTATCCAAAAGGAGTTAGTCTGCTTATGTGACCGGAGTCATCGCTGACGTCACCAAACTCTGTTTTGTTTTATCTTTTCTTTTGTTCTCACGATCATTGATGACTTGAAGGACCTAAAGCAAGCTTTGTGTATCTGACCCTTGGAAATTATGTTATGCAATGATGGAATGGCCTGTTTGGAAAATGTTGGAACTTGACAATTTTGTATCATGGGCCTCTCTTCTTGTATGTAGCAATCGTAATGGAATGTAGATTGTCTTCTACCTGAACTTCTTCACATAGATTGTAATCTGCATAATTTTATCTAGTCTGTTGTACTTTCCTCAGTGCCATTTAACTGTCAGCTTCCGGGCCCCGATTGGTGTAGCGCACGGTGAATTTAGCCTGAAGCTCACCATCGTCGTCTCAAAGCTGGCCAGCCTACCCCCTAATCGCATCGCAAGTCTGCCTGCCTGTGGGGAAGGAAGAGTAAGGCACTGATATATCGAGTGTTATGATTTCTCGTGCGCTTTCGCAAGCAATGGCTGAGTCTTAATGAGACCCGTAGGTAGGTTTCGACGATATATATATATGTTAAGTTAGGGCAGCACAGCAATCGATTAGACTGGTCAAGATCAAAACGTCCATTCAACCATAAACCAGACCCCGACAGTAAATTATCCATAATGTGACGAGGCCCGCTTCTATTAAAGTATATTCCACCCTACACAAGCAAATGTAGCACGCAAAATGGGAGGTCAATGGTTGTAGAAAACCGAGGTCCACATGATAGAATAAATAATAATATTTTTCGACTTAATGGAAGCATAGTCCACAATGGGTGTGGACAGCAAAGTAACCAAGACAAGATAGTATAAAGCATAATCAACGATCAAGGGAACAATCAGGCTCCTTTCAATTAGTAAAGACAACGAACGCCGCGCCGTGTCATGTCTGGTCGGTACAAATGAGGTGCGTTCAACAAGAGCAACAGCCGTGACAGTCAATCAATCAATCGGAAATCAATCAAGATTTGAGCAGAGGGGGTAAGAGAAGGGAAGAAAGAGAATGAAGACGCAAAACACCTGACATGAGGAGTATATGTAAGATCGAATAGAAATGGAATGGAGTAACCGCCGGTCACACTTGCGAGGAATGATAGAAAGATATAACGCCGTATCCGATGTCCCGTGTAAATGTAGTGTAGTGCTAGATCTGGAAGCAACGCAAAGCCAAAGCCGTATCGTATTATACATGTCTGCCGTGTGGGTTGTTGGGCGATATAGATGGGTCGATGATGTGAGTCAGGGTACGGTCGGGTATCGTAGGGGTGGATGCATCAGAGGGTGGGCTATCTCGAGACGGCAGAGCAGAGAGGGTTATCGATGAGGAAGGATGCGAGACAGGTGTGTACGATGAAGTGAGGAAGTCTGGTCACCTCTCGCCGAACTTGCCGTATTCTTGCTGCCATTTGAGAAGATGGCGGGTGAGCACGTCCATCATTTCGACGCTGCTAAGGTCCTTGAAGTCTTTTTCTGTGGGCATCGGGAACCCCCCAGAGCTCTCCGAGGATCCATCGCCGGCAGTCTTCGATAGTATGCTTCCTAATTGCTCGCCGATGGCTTGCGCATCGATTCCATTGGTTCTTTCAGGTGGAGTTGTGCTCTCGCCGGCGACAGCCATCTCAACTTGCATGCGTGATATGAACTCCAGAATAGCTGCTACCCGTCTCTTCATCTCATTCATTGTTGTCCGCTGATGGACGTAGCGCGGCCGGCTTGGTTTCCCTGTATCTGTGCCATTTACCGAAGTGCCGATGGTACCGATGCGCGGAGAATTGTCGCCAGTTTCTAGTGATTGCCCGCGGCGCGGAGAGTTTCCTGTATTTGAATCCGTCCCGGTCCCGTTTAGGTCTCGGTCTCGTGTATATTGATTGCGTCCTACGCGCCCACGCCGCGCAGGCGGCCGTCCAGATTTCCGCGTGGATGGACGCGGAGGCGCAGCTTCTGGAACTGGAACCGAGGTCTCAGGGCTTTGCCGTGGAAGTTCCGGTTCATTCGCAGTCATTTTAATCGGCGACTCCACTAATTCATGGTCTGAATCGGCTTCTAGCTACCGTTAGATGCAATAGCCCAGAACACAGATTGTGAAAACTCACCTTCGCCCTTTCGGCGATCACTCCTCCCCTTCCTTCTACCTGCCGCCTCCGCATGTTCTGCTTCAGGGTCTTCCGGCTCCTTCGTGTCCTTCTCACGCTGGCCCCGTGACGTGGCTCTCGGCTTTCTGTTGCCATTCGTAACAGGTCTCGACTTAGATTCATCTTCCGACGCAACCGGCGAAGCCGGATTGCTTTGCTTCGAATCGACGGTGGGAGAAGGCGACGTGGTCCGTGGTCGTTTTGTCACTTGTCGATGCCTGCGCGGGCTGATGTTAGTGAAGGCCTTCACTCCTTTGAGGCGCCGGGAACAAGGTCAACATACGCTTCGCTGTCGCTCCGACTCCTTTTAGGCCTCCGAGTGGTGCTCTCCTCTCCGTCGGTAGTCTTGTTCTCTTCCCTGCTTTCCTCTATGGCCCGTCGCAGCTGTTCCTCTTCGTCATAAGCCGCGTCTCGGCTGTTCATAGTAGACCGACGTTTCGGGTTGGGGAAAGGATCGGACTGTCTGGATTTATGGTCTTTCGCACGCTTTGAACTATCTCGGGAAGAGTCTCGGGACGATACCGTAGAGGACGGGATGGGGACGACAGGAAGGTACTGAGAAGAGTGCGATCTGCCATATCGTAAGCGAAAGAGTTTCATTTTCAAGGGTCACAGAGCAAGTCATGAGGATGCGACGGAAAGGATTTGGAGGGGCTATGAGAGATAACGTGAGAGGATGGATAGCGCAGAGCAAACCCAGGTCCGCGCGTAGTATAGTCAAGGCGTACAACGACAGAATGAACCTTCGAAAGAGAACACGAACCGACGTGAAAAAAAAGATGTTGCAGAACTTACCCATTTGTCTCGCTTTTGATCCTGTGTAGGTCTTTTCGGCACTCTTCACAGAAATACTCATCAGGACTCATAGCCTCGTCCATGATTCCTACACAGCCACCATGCTGCCAGACCTTGCAGGAGTCACACTGGATGAACATGCTGCCGATATCATCTGACATCAGGTCCGATGAGTCCAAGGAGAAAATCATGGGATTCTCATCCTTGATTCCACCCCGCGCCCCATTGCGACCGAGGGCCTCCCGGCGAGAGGGCGGAAGTCCAGGGTATTCCTGTTGTCCACATAGACACCGAGTTATCTCTTCTTCATCCTCCTCGTCGACATCGTCGTCCTCGCTGTCGCCAATTTTGGAATGTAGATCAGCTTCCTCGTCCCCTCTCGCGCGTTGGCGTTGGCGCGTCTCGCGAAAATCGCCCTTATCGGCTTCGTCATCGGACTGCGAGCGTGGGGAGGGGTTTTTGTGGTTCGATCTCGTGCTTCTTTCTCGAGTCAACGAAGCTGAAGAGCTGGAAGAATTCGTGTGCTGGATCGCCGGCGAAGGTTGGGAGGTGCGTGCACGAGAAGACCGTCGGGGGCTCATCGTGGCGGACGAGTGCCTTGACGCAGCAAAATAAGAATAAAAGTGCGAAGGATGGTACTGTAGAGCAGTCAACGCCAGACGGCAGAGGTATTAGATCCAGATCCAGCCGAGCGGAGGATGTAACGGGCAGAAGGTGCCCGTAGGCAAGCTGTCGCAGACGGTTGAGAGCTGGGTTCTCGAGCGACTCGTGCAGATGGAAAAAAGGCGACGCAGGACAAGAGAAGGGCGAAGTGGAAAGAGCAATTGGAACATATACGGCAAGAATACGTAGACGAAGCTCAGACCATGGCCGGAGACTCTACATAGTAAACGGGAGATTGGAGAGTGGTTGGAGGGATGCAAAAGCGAGGGGAAATTGAAAAGAGCGCAAGCCGTGGAGACCAGACCCGGAATTGAGAACGGCCGCAGAACCGGTAATGGACCTCCCCGCTCTCCTCACACCCAGTTGTCCACCAGCATCCTCCAAGGAGAAGATACTTGTCTGCTTTATGGATTGCTCACGAAAAAGAACTGAATTTCCTTCTCTGAAATATGAAAGAACTCATGTGCCATTCCGCGCGAAGACCCGCTTACACACTGATATCCTCTAGGACTCACCACTCACCACTGCTTCGTCTCCAACGAACCGTTGTCAATTTCTCGATCCGCCACCATTATCCTAACTGCCGGAGTGGTTTTTCGAAACCTCAACCCCAGCGGTCTCTAAATTCTCGTGTTACCAACCGGTTGCAAATTTTGGGGGAGCAGCTCGAGTCATCCGGCCAGACCTACTCCGTACGGTTCGAAGTTCCGTTTAGGACAATCCCCTGCATACCCTCTCCGAGAGCATCCCGACTCTGGTGGGCCACGGACTACTTCCTGCGGGAACCCCGAGTCTGAGCATGGGCGCGTATACCGAGAGGGCGATGGTGGGCACAAAACCGCGGTCTCCCCAAGCGCAGTTCGAGGTACGAACGAGAAGCATAACAACACACAGGAACGGCGCCGCTGCATCTGGATTGAACTACATGCATCGTACGGGAAAATCCGGCAGGCTTACTGGAACCCGGCCGGGATAAGCCAAAGGAATGTTGTACATTTGAGTTTCAGGATTGTGCGCGAACCGCTGCTGATTCGGCCGCGGTCGTAGCTCGAGCATCAGCCTCAGGAACGGCACTGAGCACTGTTCGAACAAATGTTCCGGCCGCGGTCATTAGCTGTCGTTGAGGATTCAAGGTCCTGCAGGTAGGTACGAAAGTAGTCGTAACACTGCGCCCTCAATTCTAGACGTAGATAAGTACGAAGCAGAAAATAGATCAAGCACCTCGAAAATATAGCAATATCTGCAGAATCCAATGCGAGTTGGAGATAGTACCGTAGAGCGTATGAATAGCCCTGAAAGTACTCGGCGCCTTGGTGCCTGAGGCTGACGGCATCAGCTTCTGGGGATTTGTAAGGTTCAAGATAATAAATTATTTAATTCATCTAAAGCATCCTCAGATCAGTGCAGTCTCGTATGATTCTGGTACAAATACCTTTAGCAGCATCAGCGGATATTTAATAGATTGATATCATTTATCTCGCCTCTCATTGGGAACCCCACGTCTCCGTTCGCTACCGCCTCCCACTATCTGGCCGTGGCCCCTTTAGTGTACTTCTCGTCTCCTTTCCGCTTCTTGTCAGGTGCCGATCGGGTGTCATTCTCTCATCAAAAAAGTTTGCTTGGGAAATGCCTGGGGAATAGCTCAATATCTGTGAGTGTGGCCCTTGATCTTATCGCGCTCGGCTTTTCTTTTCTTTTGTTGCCTTGCCAATTACGGGTCATCGGCCTTTTCCCGGATTGTGTCGTGGACCTTGGGGCACCAACTCCGAATTGTGCCCTCCCACTTGCAACAACACGCTTATGGGTCATGGCCAAGTTCCCAAAAAGCTGACGTTGACGTTCCCAGGATATCCTAGCTATCTCCTTCGCTTCGACACTCCGAACACCGACAAGTGCGGTCTTTTCTGTTTTGTATCTTCAAAGTGGGTGTCGGATAAATAAGACGCAGAGGGTTACGCACAGGCCTGGGCAGAAAATACGAAGGACTACTGGTACAAGAAGAAGAACCTCGGAAACCGTCAGGCTGGACTACCGGACACAAAGAGAGGCCTCAACTGGCTGCGGCTGTGGAGGTCACAGTTGATAGTTTCGCACAATGGCTGCTACGCTGAGTATGTTCTCTCGTGATCCCACTCAAAGTAGTCCCTGGTGGAAGATCTGCGGATTGCTGCCGGAGAATAACTGCAGATGTTGAAGCTGCGGAGATGGGGGGACGGGCAACAGAGGAGGGGTAAGATAGCGTTCAGTGCTGATACTGTCCTCCTGCAGATGGGATGATATACTCAGCCCCAGATACGCCGTCGCCCGTCTATCCCGATAGACTGATCCGACCCCTCCCCAAGCGTACCATCCGGTCTCGGTTGTCCGCCAATGCGGCCGATTCGATTCTCTATCCTCCTGCTCCACCAGCAACGCAGCTTTTCTACGGAGCTTGTGCAACAAACGGGGATCCTGTAAATGACACCAAAGTATACGTACAACAAGGCGACGGGGGTCGTGATCTAAGTCCTGATAGTCGGGATCACCACATTCCTTATGAAAATGGCGTTGACATAGACAGCGGTGATGATGACGGGCCGGTGGTTGTCCGACGGAGCGCTGGGTTTCGTGGGTCGTCTTTGTCACCCACGCCTTCCAATGTACAACAAACACTTCCCGGCATGGGGAAAGAACAACCGACCAAGTCATCTCCCACCGGGCCGGACGGGTACGACGCTTTTGAGAACACTAACAACAAGAAAAAGCGCAAGATTCCCACGCCTGGTAATATGGGAAGTCACCATTCTTCTCTGTCACCAGAATTTGCGACGATGGCATTAGCGAACCCTGGACAATCCTCATCGCCTGGGGAGGGCGGACATGTGAGTACGTTCTACGGCACAGGCAGTCCCGCGTCACCAGTGGGCAATGGAATGTCTGGCTCGGGCAGAGGCCGCCTTGGACGCCAAGGGAGACGGTCGTCAATACATGGAAATATCAGTTGGCCGCAAAATCGTGGTGGTAGTCGTCGGGACGGGCCGTTATCCTCCCCGGGACCAACAGGTACGCTCTCATTGTTATCCGAATCGGACCTTTTGCTAACAACATTTAAAGGTGAGCCTGGCGCACGCAACCATGGCATCATTTCCGCCGCCATTGCAAGTGCCGCAGCATCAGCTTTCTCGCCGTCTTCGCAACGAGTCTCCGTTCAAGGTAGCATGCTTGAACAACAGACTACACCCACGAGAACCCAATTTACTTTCACATGCGAATCCGACTCGTCCAAAGGGATGGCGTTGCACGCACAAAACCCATATCCATCTCAGCATCGGTCGCCGGTCGCCCAACCCCAAGCGGGGAACAACTCCCGAGGAGTCTCCACGCAAGGCACGCAGACCAGCCCGACTGTTCCAGCGCAGATGAGCCAGCAACAAAACACCCAAACACAACCACAACCACAGCAAGCACCCGCATCTACAGAGCCACCCCCAGAGAGGAAGAAAAAGAGGTCGCCTGCTAGCATTTATGCGCTGGCTGCCCGCCAACGGAAGATTCAACAACAATATACAAACCTCCACCATCCACCTAGTCTTCAAGATATCTGGATTTGCGAGTTCTGCGAGTACGAAAGCATCTTTGGGCGTCCCCCTGAAGCTCTCATTCGCCAGTATGAGATCAAAGACCGCAAAGAGCGCAAACGGTTGGCGGAGAAGAAGAGGCTATTGGAAAAGGCCAAGATGAAGGGCCGCAAGCATAAGAAAGCGACCAAGAATGCAACAAAGCATGCATCTCAACATGGAGCATATGACCATGGCTACGACCGGGCTTCCGTTGATCATTCTTCGGTAGGCGGGGAAGCGCCGCATCACGATGACTTCGGACCTGAGGACGATGATGAAGCGACCGCCGCTGCTCCACCGGCTACCCTCGCAGGGACGTTCAAATCTCCGCTTCCTCCAGGAAGCGCGGCCAAGAAACCCACGGCAGCGTCATCAGGCGGTAGAGGAGCAATAGAAGGAGGAATGAAGCCGCCCTGACTATAGTGGACGGCTTGTGTCTTGGGTATGTCTAGCATTATTTGTTCGCGCTTTTGATTTATAGTTTTGGTCTTTGCATGGTCGATTAGCCTTTGTCGTTTTGCAATCACGAATCCCCGCTCCCATTGTCTCTTGATGTGTCATGTCAACAATCAGCATGAATCCTTTCAGGTGCATAGGTCAGTCATTGGTTGGAGCTGTCTGGAAGGGGACTTGGAGAAGCTGTCGCAAGTGGAGCCTGGGCTCATGTTAGGGTAGAAGAATAGGGTAGGCAGGTACCGTAGCTGTTCTATGAATAGGACTAATCAAGCTATGTTTAACCTCTGCTTGTTGGCGCCTAGATCGGATGATTCTCGTTGGCCCGCACTCCAGCTGACGGCGTTGCAGATAGGCGCGCGCGAACTACAACCATAAGGTGTTTCAGAAGGATACCTAAACAAAGAACCAGTGGCTGTCAGTCGCCCCTGTGTTAGTGCCAGCCTGACACTTTTGAGGCCTGCAGAAAGCCCTTTGTATAGCGGCACCATGATATAAAGCTGAAGATCCCGCTGCAGCTCTTTCTTCTCATCCAATCTCCAGCTCAGCTTCATTCTACACTGCGTTTCATATTTTCTTTCTCTTTCTTTTCTTTGTTCCTTTCCTATATCTGCTGCGCAGGCGCACCTCTCATCCGTCGCATCTAGATTCCGATTTCTGTCTCCTCGAAGTAGGCACAACCGACTACACACTCGCTCTTTCCTCATCCTCAACACAACTAAACTCCTTTATTTCATCTCACCTTCACTCACTCTAATGTGGTTCGTCCTCTTCAAAATCTTCCGCTTCGGCTACTCCGAAACCAAAAAATACAAAGCCAAAAAAGCCGCTCAGCAACCCGGCCAACCCGGACAAGCCCAGTTCCAACAACCTCCATTCCCAAACCCTTACTTCGGCGGCACCGCAGACGGCTCTCGCGGGCCAGAGCAGTACCCAATGGACACCTACCCGGCGCCTCCGCTCCCCGAGCAAACCCCTCCACCCGCAATGGGCAAGCGCGCGAAGATGAAAGCTCTCATTTCAACCGCCCTCGCCATCCTCCAATTCGCTTTCGGTCTCGCCGTCATCGGCCTGTACAGCCAGGACATCAACTCCGCGCGCGATAGGGGCGACTCAGCGCCCAGCCGCTGGGTTTATGCGGTGGTTACGGCGTTCATGTCGACCGTCACTGCGCTGGCGTACCTGGTTCTCGGCTGGTGGTGGAAGAAGCGCTCCAAGCCGTCGTTCAGCCAGCGGGGTGGTCTTTTCCTGCCGCTGTTCGCGTGGGAGTCTATACTCGTTATCCTGTGGCTTGTTGTCTTTGGGATCTTTGGCGAGATGTATATTGGTGTTTATCATGTTGGTGGCAAGGACGGCGGTGATAGTAAGGTTACCCGCATGCGCAGGGCTGTTTGGGTTGATCTTGCTTGCTTGCTGTTTTGGGTGGTCTCTGGTGCTTGGAGGGGTGTTAGGTGGTGGAAGGCGAAAGGAAGTGGAAGTGGTCCGAGTGGGTTCAGTGGGTTCTCTTTCAGGAAGAAGAGGAGTGGTGTTGAAGGCGGGGAGAAGGAGATGGCCTGATCCTGTCTCGACTTTCACAACAGAGGATGTGAGGCCTTGAGGCTTCATGCAAGATGACTTGGATAGGATGGAGAAGGGCTTATTGGGTTGCATGGTGGCTGGTCCACGCTGGAGTGATTAGGGCTTCTTTCTTTGCTTACTGGGACGGGCCCTACGGTATACGTGTTTATAAACAGGTTCAGCTTCGGCTTCAGGTTTTGCAGGTTGCACGTTAAAAGGTTGATTATTGGTAATTATCGTCGTATTGAAGTGGTATCAAACGCAAACAAAAACATCATCACTTACTGCTCGATCTCTCCTTCTGTGTAGTCGTAGCAGTAGTACCAATCTTTCCCATCATCCCCTGATTAACCATACTGTTCCTACTCTGCTCAATCAAAAGACTTAATCCTCCCCTTCCACGCGTGAATGAGAGGCCCGGCGGCGTAGCGAACGGATTTCCTGTTCCTCCCGGCACGGGCATTGGCATGGCCATGGCTGGCGTAGTTGCATTGATGCTTGCATTCAGAGTCGAATTGACAAACCCATGTTGATGACCAAGGTCAGGTCCCAGCTCCTCGTCGGAATCATGCCCGTGGATTGGCGCTGGCTCTATAACGTTGGCGGGCGCAAACATTCCTTCATGCACACCTTGATAAAATGCTGGATCTGTGTCCCCGCTTTGACCGGTCAGTATAGAGGTTGCGATTGTTGATGCGCCGTGTGATTGCGTGTGTGAATCGCCGAAGCGGGATTTTGGAGGCGAGACGGTTGCTTCTGTTGTTGAACCCGTTCCTGGTCTTTCGTCTCCTTCTGATTCGGTAGAGTTTTGGCCCAAGAACGCCGTTTGCGCATCTTCATCCGCATCCGCGTTTCCTAGGTCTTGATATCCTTCCTGCTCCTCGTCATCCTGATCCATACACTGCTGGACAAACTGCGCATAGTACTCATCGGCGATCCTCTTCTGCTCGACGAACCTGGTCCTGAAATCCGGCGCCACGAGTTTGGAGCTATTGGGCTGTTCGTAGTTTTCTTCGGAGAGATGACGCACGTCGTAATGGCGACAGGCTGTTGCGGAGAAGAAGCCGACGGTTGGTGGGGAGGCGTGCGGGCGGAGTGGTGGGAGGGGCGTGTTTTTGTGTAGTAACTCTTTGAGGTCGGAGACAAAGGGCTCGGGGAGGGCAGGCTCGGGGATTTCTTCGTTGTCTTCTGGGATGAGGGGTGGAAAGGGCTCTGGGGGTGGGCTTGTGGATGTTGATGTTGAGGCGGGTTTGTCTGCGGTTGCTATTTTGGCTGTCATTTGCTTTGGCTTCGGCTTCGGCTTCGAAGTGGGAGCTGTTAGGATGTCAGGAGTTGTGGGATAGACGGTGGTTTGATCTGGCTCTATTGGGGCGTTTGGGGTGACGATAGTCAGTTCTGTAATGGATTAGCAATGCTGCTGCACAAAAATACAATATAAGAGTAAGCTACCATCAGGCGAGTCCTCCACAGCCTCTTCATCAATCTCATCTGTAAGAACAAAACCCATGCCAGAGTCGATAGGCTCGTCAACGAAATCCGTCTGCGGCGAATGGTTGCGTGTAGAAGTCGCCGAATTAGAAGACTGCTGCGATGACTTGCGCCGCATCAGCACAGGACGACGCTTCGAAGTCTTCGCTTTTGCCTTGCTAGCCACGACAATCGGTTTAGACTTCTTCTGCCCCGCGCGACTAGCAGTAGCAACAGTGGCGACAGGGGTACTGGGTCCTTGCTGTGTCTGTTCCGCGAAAAGAATAGGACGGGACGGAGGAATGGGTGTTGGCGGGTTCGATGGTTTGCGAGTAACACTTTGCCCGCCTAGACCTGTAAGCAGTAGGCGTGTGGTCTTCTGGACTTCGCCGTGCGAGGAGCTGTTAGATTTCTTTAGGATGGGTTGCAGTGGCTTGGTGGCTGTTGCTGGGGCCGGGTGGCTTTGGCTCTTGGTGTGATTTGGCGGATGTGGGTGTTTCTCATCACGTTTCAAACTGGACGTAGCCGGGTCGGATTCCTGCATCTGAGCGTCAGCAACGAGTTACGGTTACAGGAAACTTGATTGTCGTTGTGCTCGTGTTCCCCACCTTTGACTTTGGCTGCGCCTTTTCTGGCGGCCTGAATGGAGTCGGGGGCAGAGTCGGGCTGCGACTCGTGGGCGTGAGAGTGAGCGCTGGGTCTGGCTCTGAGACTTGCAGGAATAAGCGAGATAGCGATGATCCTGTCAGGGCGCTGGTTAGACGCTTGCTGCTCCAGATCCGCCAGAAGAAGTTCTGCAGACGATAGCCGGCGTCGCCCTCGTGGGCAGATGGGTTGGTGCTGTATGCTGTTTAAATGGTGAGTAAGTTCTCTTGTAGCGTATGGAAAGGAAAGGACGACGAGGGCAGGAATGCGCACCTTTCCACAACTGCACGATATCTCCAATGTCCACGGCATCAATACCAATACCATCTAGCTCCGTTGGGACCTTCTCTGAAACAGATACCAGGCCTTTAGGAAGACTCTCCATGGCGACAAGGTGGTGTTGAGTTGAGCTGGGGAAGCGCTGGTGCTGGTGAGTTGATGAAAACACAACACTTCATAGTCAAGATGGAAAGTCCAGGCAGGTTAGACAAGAGGTGAAAGGGAAAAGGACAGGAAAGTGACTAGCGGTGAATATGAGCAGTGGAATTGGTCAGAGTCATAACAAACGCAGGGAGAGTGAATGCGCCCAAAGTCTGGAGAGTCAGAGTGACTGCAAGGGCAGAGCAGAGCAGGATTCCCCCACATTAGACTGCGCAGAAACAACCCAGCAGCTGCATCTGGGGGGGAAGCATGCAGAAGATTAGGAATCCAGGAACAGAGTATCAGAAATCAGCATAAAAAGGAAGAAAGAAAGAAAGGATTTGGTGCCTTAAGCCGAGTCTTGCCGGTGGTGCCCAGTGGAGGCCGACTCAACGAGTTCGACAGATAAAGAACTCTTTGACTTCAATGACTTGACGGCCCGGCAATCAGGAATCAGATCATGGGGATCGCAGCCAGACTCGATAGGTCACAGCGTGAAATAATGCCAGTCAGTTGATGCGGCAGCCTTGCTTAGGGCATTTGCTGGCCTGGTGATTGATTAGTCTACGGAGAAGTCCACTTGGCTCTACGTCGGTCGTCCAGCGGGCAACGGAATCCAAGCCCCAGCCTATCACCACCAGAGCCCAAACCAGCTCCAGGGTGTCGGGAATGCCCGTTGCGAACCTTGGGACTTCCACCCCACACTTGTCCATACTTCTGGGGGATCGATGGA